ATAACACAAGGGAGTGGAGGGCGGGTGAACCAAAAATGCAGCTACCTACACTGGTAGCTGAGAGCCTGCATGCTACAAATGTACCATGCAGTGATGAGATTCACCCTAAACAAAAGTGAGCAAGCACACGTATCGTGTTTGGCACTTCGCTTGGGCTGAATGCAGATTGCATAGTCAGAGACCGCAGCGTGCAGGAATGCATCCCGGCGGCAACAAGCGCTGGCCTGAGCGCACCTGAACAGAAAGACCTGGGCCAACTACCTGCTTGGCTGCCTGAACCACGTCCCGCGCACGCCACGGCTGTGGCGATGCTGGGAGCTGCATGCTGGCCTCAAACCTGATTGGCACACAACCTTGCATACTCAGCGAAAGGACTGGCCACAGGTCCTGCCTGTCCCAAAGAAGGCGCTGCTTGAAGCTCTTCAACGAGGCCAATGGATCAAGGGAGGCTTCATCAGCTCTTGCGGTGGCTGACCAACTCTGTAGCTTGGCAAAGACCCAGTGAGCTTGCAGTGGGGCACTGATGTTACCTACCAGGCACAGGCCGGCTCTTGCCCCTTGCTTGAATTGAAAGGTCGGGGAGAGGGAGTTGAGGAAACCTGCCTCACACGGGTGTGGGAACCTAAGAGCCCCGAACGAAACCGAAAGAACCCCTATTCCTCTAAGGCCTCCAGATCTTAGGCGCTGGTCAGTGAACCCACTGCGGCGGCAGCCACACGGGCAGCTGCGTAGGGCGCATCCCCATGAGTGCAAAGCTGTAGGAGACTGGGACTGCATGTCCAGGATGCGCTGGTCCCTGCCATACTGCGGGTCTGCCATAAGGCGGGCTTCAACCTCAGTCCAAAGAAGTTCGGCTTCCTCGGCCTCATGCCAACAAGGCCACTCTGGAATGACATCTCGAATGACCAAAGGAGGACTCAGCTTGGGATATGAGGAAAAGTTGAACGGAGATTCCGTTGCCAATACAAGGCAAGCCCACCAGCGACGACGCCTAGCAACCCAAATGTCCCCTAGCTCAAGCTCTGCATGGTGCAGGACGTACCCGGCCCGCTGCGCAAACTCGTGGAGGGTCTGAAGGATATCCTTGTGGCCTACGATCTCCGCAACACATTCAAGCACTATGCAGGGCGCTCGCAATCGCCATCCTATCTGCAGCACATGGTTCAGCACCTGGCTCCGAGAATCTGCGGAACCCAGTTGCATGCCCTGGCGAGAATAGGGCTGGCATGGTATGCCGGCTGTCAGGGAACAGGCCTGACCACAGTCCTGAATCCGCTGATGCACATGCAGCTTAGTGTTGTCATCTGTAATGTCACCCAAAATCGTGCTACCACCATTGTCTTTGACAGTTGCGATTGCCAGAGGAGAATGGTCAACGAAAACCAAAGTCTCGCCTGCCAAGCCTCTAAGGCCCTGTGACATACCCCCCAACCCGGAGCAAACATCCACAATTGTTCTGTAAGAAGCGGTGGTAATCGGCTTGGCTTCAAAACTGTACGAATCAAGCTCAAACTGCAAGACTGCGACACCCTCAATCATGCCCAGAAATTTGAGATGATATAGTGTGAAGACACCCGGCTGAAGAGGAAGACCACGAAGCTTCAAGCATTCACCTGTCCATGCGGCAGTAAGGCCTTCCAAGCCTACTCGCACAACCCCTGACCAGTAGTGGCCCTCCTGCAGTTGCGAAAAAGATCTGTCACCAAACGCCATGGCGTACACCTCCGCGATGCTTTGTAGTTAGCGGCTCTACCCCTGGCAGGATCTCGGGCCCGAGCTAAGGGTCTTGTTTAGGCTTTAGGGGCGATGCATGGCCTGATGTGGCAAGACTAAGAACTGTCTCTTTGGAGGACTGCAGCGCTACGAAAAACTCTGCTGGCCATAATGAACAGCATAGCTCGCCGTAGGAGAAGGACAAGCTCCTTCAAGGAAGGTGACGCGAAAGGGCCGTGCTTCAGTTCAGTCTCTACTTGGCAACTGACATGAGCTGCGATTTGCGAGGATCCTCGGACGACTGGTTGGGTTACTTGCTCATCTTCTTGCAATTGTTTTGGCGGTCGAACCAAGTAAGATCATATTCCATATATAAACAATACCCCAAAAGTAGGATATAGTCTTGCTCTATAATTATGGGGTACTATAGTATCCCCAAATATAATACTACTCTCCATGTACAGCTCTCCACCTGCGGCTGCAGAGGCAGGCAAAGCCCTTGCCCGCACTGGCCTGCTGAACTGGAGCACTCCATGCGCACCTGCGATGGAGTACTTGTTGAAATCCAGTTGCCACAATGAGCTGCACTCTGAACTCCGTAAAGGGGGTTTTGTAGGGGATTATATAGGGGACTGTTATAGGGATTTTTAGGGGGGATACTAGGAGTTGCGACTATATAGCTCACATGTTGCCACTGCGTCAGTATTCACAAACAGACATCGAAACGGAGCACGCTTTCTTGGATCTGTGTTCGGAACGCTACTTGAGATGTCCGGAAGCTAGGTGTTCGTTTAGGGGAGGTCCCCACGATAAGGATTGCAGCATTTTGGGGTCTACATCCTCGTATCTATGAACACTACAACTTCCAAGTCCTCTTTGAATAAAACGTACATAAAACGTACCAAGCGCCTGCTGACCCTGCGGGGAAACCAAATGCACCAACCTCGACCTACATGGTCATGGTAGTTTCCA